GGCAGTTAAATCGCTGTTTCACTACTCTTTGCCAGCTAGAAAAAATTAAAAAATCTAAAGGTACCTTCGACTATTTTATTTTATTTTTTTCTCTTTGAATTTGTGTTGATGAATGCATACAGGTGGGCCGGATGGAGCTGTGACAACAGAAACAGCCACAAAAGTGAGTCCCCATTTGTTTCTCTGTCCCCCAATCATCATAATTTAAAACCTGAGAGCATGAGAATTTTACATTATTATGGTGGTTTTTTTTTGGTTCCAATGAAGAAGAAAGTGCTGAAAAGGAAGGAGGAGGCAACCACTGATTTGTTGCCAGGAGTCCTCATAAACAATTTGAGTGATATATCAGAAAGCAAGAGGAGACGTGAAAGCTCAGGCCGAGCTGTCAATCCTTCTAAGAGTGGCTTTGAAGAAAAGGAGTTGTCACAACATGAAACTGAACAGGGCAGACAGAGCGAGCAGCTCAAGTACTGCAGCGAAATCCTGAAGGAAATGCTCTCGAAAAAGCACACAGCCTACGCCTGGCCTTTCTACAAGCCTGTCGACGCTGAAGCTCTGCAACTTCACGATTACCATGACATCATTAAATACCCCATGGACCTCAGCACTGTCAGAGTACACATATATATATATATATATATATATATATATGGTGTGTGTATATGAACCATCACACACCAGCACCCTGAGCCACTCGTGTGTGTGAATACAGTTAGACCTCTGTGAAGCTCAGATTGACTGACAGTTGCTCAGGCATCTGTATTCTTGCAGCTGAGTCTGACATGAGTGACGTTTTGAGTGAATGTTTGTGAGCACAGACCACTCATACATTTTAAAGCAACCCTCCACCATTTTACCATGTTTATTTTTTGCCTCTCTTTTTCCCTCCCTTGTTCCTATCCAGAGAGGAATCCCCATCGGCCAGTTTTGCAAGGACTTCAATGAGAAAACCAAAGAGCTGAAGGAGGGCATTCCTCTCCCAGTCAAGGTCCATGTGAAGGTGCGTCTCTTTGTGGGTCGCTCTAACCCATCCCTGACCCTTTACGCTTAGCAGCCCTCCCTCCCACAATTGTGGTTAATTCCACTAGCTGCATAACATTACCAGAGCACTTCCATTATTCATACTCTACCACTGAAGTAAGCTTTTCCATTTGCATTCATTAATGAAGCAATACCCAGAGGAACTTGGAGTCAAGAAGCATTAAGTGCATGCAAGAGATGTGAATTACTCAGAAAAAAGGTGTTGTGAGCTTGTAGTTTTTATTTTACACAACCGCATATTGTTTGCCTCACCCCGCCCCCGCCCCCCCCCCTCTTCC